CAAAGGTTTTCATAGACGCATTATTTAGTTTACGCTCTATGTTTCAAGTACTACGTCTGTTTGGCGTCTACAAACTCTGTTGGTGCCTTAAGCTTTACATTTCAAGATGTAACTTTTTCTGATACTGACATCTGGACTTACTGCAAATTCCAGCAACTAGCAATCTTACTGTGTAGGTGTAAGGGTGCTGGTGAAATTACAGGAACATAGGACTTGTCAACTTAATGTCTCAGGATGACGGAAGTAGTGCCACTGCTGCTAAGTAGCAGCAGCCACTTGATATTATAAAAACAAAAGATCTTTGCGATTTAAAGCTCTGAATGGCATTGCAACTTCTATGGAAAGGCGCGCTTACCACCGTATAAAAAAACACCAATTACAATTCTAAAATTGTTATGGGTACCTTGAGTACCAGAGCAACGAAATTAGCTTACATCTTACAGCTTACAATTAACTTACATTTATTTACATTATGTTATACAATATAATGTATTCTGCTGGGATATTACTGGGATACAATTGACAAAATGGCTTTCGACACATTGCTTCTAAACGAGTATTAATAATGAGTACTTGGAATTTACAAATTCATTTCATTAATTTGAAACTATAGAGACTAAACATTAAATCTCACTAATTTGCACATCTGCTTGCAGGTTGAGTACAATGTATCTAATTTTACTTAAGACCTATGTAAATACTGTATTCTGGCAAAGAAACGTATTCTACTCTATTCTATACAAAATACGTTAATAAAACTCCTATCTACAATACGTCGTTCAAATTATGACTTGTTGCAAACGATTGTAATAAGACGATCTCCGTGGTCAAGTGGCATGCACACCGCTTTGCAAGGTGTCGCTATCTCCGAGGTTCCGGATTTGATCCCTGGCCGGGTCAATGTGGAAAACTAAATTTTCTATATTGTGTTTAGGTGTTTGTGGTACCGTCGTTGTTTCCGATTTCCATATATTAGTGGTATAGTTACTTAATTTGGGATTAGAGCAAGGCAACGCATGTGATGTTGTCTAATATTTATGAAATAATTAATTTATTAAATAATTAATTAAATAATATTTATTAAATAATTAATTTCTTAATGCATTCTCAATAACTTAAGAGCATTAAGAAAAATCAATGTTTAAAAAACGTGTCAAATTCCTGGTCACCATAAGACCTTCAAGCTTGTTCACTGAAACATGAATATAATATCACATTGTCCCACCGTAATTTAGAATGCGTGCAAATTTAACAAAACAATTTTGTCTTTTGATTTACAATACATATGCTTTACAATACGGTGATTAAGTGTCAATACTACGCTGTTCGAACATCTGTGTTTATGTAGTGACAAATGCAACAAATAATCTTATAATGAGTAATCAATGTTGAAATAACGTGATAATGTCATCATTTCAATAAATAGGCATCATATATTAGGGGTTAAAGTATGAAATTGCCGTTTTATTGCAATAGGTTCTTTGAATTTTCATAGAATCTTCATGGTTTGAGGTTTTCGAATGAAACTCTTTTCAAATGGTTTCTGTGATTTTTTTTTTAAATTTGAAACATTTGAATATCGACTTTCAATTGTTTTTGTTATTCAATTTAGACAAGAAAGATGGATACTGCGAAAATTCGAGTGATTTTTGAATACGAGTTCCGACGCGGAACTAACGCGGCAGAAACAGCCCGCAATATCAATGCTGCGTTTGGAGAGGGGTCTACTAATGAACGCACCGTGCGATTTTGGTTTAAACGCTTTCGTGATGGAAATTTCGACTTAAAGAACGAGCCACGAGGAAGACCGCCCACACAGGTGAATAACGATGAATTAAGAGAGATAGTGGAAGCCGATCCTAGTCAAACTACCCAGGAATTAGCGGCATGGTTTAACGTTACCTTACCCACAATATTGACTCACTTGCGTCAAATCAATAAAATAAAAAAATACGAAAAATGGGTGCCTCATGATTTGACTGATCTGCAGTAAGAAACGCGTGTTGAAACTTGTGTTGCCTTGTTGAACCGGTATAGAAATGAAGGAATATTGGATCGAATTGTAACATGTGATGAAAAGTGGATTCTTTATGATAACCGGAAAAGAAAAATGCAATGGCTGACCCCAGGTCAAATGCCACAACAGTGTCCTAAAGCAAAACTTACCAATAAAAAGGTAATGGTAACTGTTTGGTGGTCTCAGCATGGTGTTATTCACTATAGTTTTCTCCGATCTGGTCAAGCAATAACGGCAGATGTCTATTGTGCCGAACTCCGAACCATGTTGACAAAACTAGCAGTAAAACAGCCCCGACTCACGAATCGATCTTCACCATTATTGCTCCACGACAACGCGAGACCTCACACAGCACGAGAAACCATTTTGACCCTTCAGGAACTGCAGTTAGAAACCATTCGTCATCCTCCGTATTCACCAGACCTTGCTCCAACGGACTACCATTTTTTTCGTGATTTGGACAATTATCTACGTGACAAGAAGTTTTCTTCCCAGGAGGCAGTACAAAATGCTTTCACACAGTTTGTGCAGTCTAGATCGTCGGAGTTCTCTCGCAAAGGCATTAATAACCTTCCCATTAGATGGCAGCAATGTATAGATAATAATGGCAACTATTTTGATTAAATAAATTTGTTAAAAATTTAAAAAATAAACAATTTAGATTTTCAGTACAAATCGGCAATTTCATACTTTAACCCCTATTATTAAGATTTTTGGCTAAACAGTTTATGTGATAAGTGATTCTAATGAAAGATTTTATACGTACAATTTTATAGCGGCAATAACGGAAAATTGCAGTTGTTATTGAGGACACATCCGATTTTAACAACCACGTAATTGCAAAAGTCGTCTTAGGGCCACAACACACTATACATTTATAACTTTCTCAAAATTTTGGATAACCGCTTTCGCTAATTTGCCACCCCTAGAGTTGGAATATTTTCTTCAATACCAGAACTGGGGGTACCCTTTTCAATAAAAAAAGAATCATTGAAATCTATTTCCAAATGTCGAATGCTTATCTATATTTATACTTTTAATCATTATTTATTCGACTGCGGTAAAACTTTCGTGAGTTGTTGTCATGTTTTATTTTCACTTCAGCAAAAGTTTGTAAAGTATTCGAACGATTATAAAATGTCAAAATATCAGGTGGGCCAGTTGCTTCTACAAACTACAAAGCGCTTCGCCACTACATGGCTTTCATTTGTTTCATCAATAGTATATCCAAAACAGTATTGACGGTACAGCCATCATGGTAGTAAAATTATTGAAATAGGTAATAAAAACTTGGTAACAGATTAAAAAGTAAGTAGATCGGTATAGTCTGTAAAAACTTTTGGTGATTCAGGTTTTCATGGATTTGTTTTGAGACTAAGTAGCAGCGGATACATTAAAATGATCTTCGTGTTATAGATTTCCAAGGTAAAGGCAAGTAATATAAACATAAGAACAATATGAGTAATAGCCTAGATGTAAAGAATTCTACGTTATGTCCGCGGGTTGCACTTATAACCTGATTCTTGTACGAGACATGTGCATGGCAGTGAATTGTAAATGCGTGATGCGTGATGCGTGACACACACAGGATACGAAGATTCATCAAAATTAAAATTTAATTGACTAATTTTATCAATAACAATAAGTGATTAAAATTTTTCCAGTTTTACGTAAAAACTCAACAATCAGAGTTCCGAAGTAAATTGCCTAGTTTGAAATTCTAATTTTACACAGAAACTTCCTATGAACCTAGTGAAGTATTTTAAATTGAAAAGGCTTGTCCTGACAGATGAAACTTTTAATTACCCCAGTGTATTGAAGTTAAAGCGAAAGGTAATGAAGGCATAAACACGTAAATCTGGTAATTACTTCTTGTGGTTTCAGTTGTTGCTTTTTCTGCCTGTGTGATTTTATTAGTTACCTCAACGGGTAATAGGCAATTTAGATGTCTCTGGTAACAATTTTACTTCGGTGTTCTATGGCTGAAGTGAATTTTGAGGTGTTATTTGACCTTTAACGTCAAATAAATAGTAATAACATAATAACGTGACAACCACAACAAAACCACCACACTTGGGCTAACACTCTTGAGAAGTAGTAGAGTTCTTATGAAAGAGTTCGTCCAGGGAAGTACTGCCACCTTATCTATTTCTGCCGCCAAGCAGTAATTATGAGCATTACTGCATCCCGGTTTTGAATGTTAAGGGCACTGGTGAAATTATAGGCACAAGGTACTTGTCTATTTACGTCTCAGGGTGCCGGACACTTTGGCGGTGCCCCTCAGACCTTTACGCTCTAAAGATCTAAGTGGCACAGCAGCTGCTATGGACAGGCGTAGCGCTTACCACCAGAATCACAACGTGTTCATTCAGTCACTTGGTATCATAAAAAAAACTAGGAAATTTTCTGTACTATGAGTACCAGGGCAACGGAATTAATACACACAAAAAAAAATAATCTCCCAAATTGGTCCAACCGGAAATTGTGCTCGGGACAACCTCATCCAGTGCCCACGGTGCAAAACGTTAGGTCACCGAGGTCGTGAAATGTTCATAGGGTCGTTGAGTGGCAATATCACACCGCAAAGCGTTAGATCTTTTATTGCGCGTCTATAAAAACAATACGGCTTTGTAGTTGCGTGATACTTCGAAATACAATTTATTACACTGGACAAAAAATAATTTGCAAATGTAGCTAAACAAGTACCGTGAAATATACCATTTTGTATGCTAATAATAATGGCTGTCCGTCACTCATCAGAATTGGAGTGCGCAATCATTTATGAAGATAACAACAGATTTTTTTCTCGAGCACTTCAATTTAAAAACTGGGGAGCTGGCTATTAAGGTGAAATTATTAACAGCAATTCACATTGTTTCCAAAACAATTTATTATTGACTAATCTTCTAACTTAGGTAAAGAGGAATTTATTAAAGCATGAAGGTACATTTAATTGTGAAGTTTGTAGAGGCTATTTACTGACCTGTGGTATACTGAACAGGAAACTCAGGACCCAAGCAATTACGACCAATCTTCCACTCCGCGTAGCTGTTGCCATACTTTTCATTGGATATTTGACAGCGAGCCATCGGTCCACGCCAATCAGTACCAGAATAAAAGTACTCAAATACAAAGCGAACATTTGCAAGAACTTGAACAATTTGCACATCACATTGCCCGCGTACCATTGTACCATAAATGACCACGCCGCTTCACCAGCTATGCAAAACACAGTCACTAACAAATCTGCTACACTCAACTGAAAAATTAAACTGTATATAGCTGTCCAAGATGGTCTCACTCTTCCTCGGCTTCGTTTTCCCAATTTCAAACTTATAATAGTGGCCACATTACCGAAAAAGGAAAGAATGGCCATAGCTGACAATACGCTAGCTCTAATTATAATACTTTTGGTTAACACTGGTGCGTGTTCCAAGCACTTTAGCTGAGTGCCATTATAAGTGTATAGGAGGTTGTTTGCGTCATCAGTATTAGTCTCGTTAATAAGATGTGCCTCTATACATTTTTCTATAGGCCATATATCATAAGCTGACATAACTTCGTTGGTGAACGCTCGGTTCTGCTTAAGTTCGCTGAGATAGAAGATCACGTCTTCAAGTGATGTGGTATTGTTGCCTGCGTTGTCCATGTTTCGTCATGCGTGTTTTGCAAACGATTTGGTAATCTGAAACAATAAGATAACACCGTTATAAGTTTAGTCAAGAAATAGTGACGGAATTTGAGACGAGCAAATACTTTTCTGATTAAATTCTGAGTTAAAGTTTGTACATATTCGCGATGGAAAGGTAAAGCGTCTAACGTGCATCTGGAGAATATTACAGGAGAGCGATTTAAAGTTTCTTTTTTTTTTAATATCATAAATCTAATTTGATTATATGGAAAAGCTGAAACTTTTCTACATATGAAATAAAAATCGAGTTCTAATTTTTTTCTTAAGACAATTGCTTTAATCGCTCTCGTATAATATTTTCCAAATGTACGTTAGACGTTGTACCTTTCCAGTGTCGAATATAAACCCGTTACAATTTACACGACATTTAAAAACCAACAAGCAGTCCACTTTTCTGCGATGATCGAGATTTTGTAGCTTCGACTCCAATGTTATACACAATAATGTTATATTATAACTCTATTATAGTGTCTCCTGACTCCCCTACAAATAGTGTAAGTAATGTAATAAAAACAATGTAAGTTAGTGTCACAAATCTCATATTAAATTACAACAATATCCACCGTATGACCACATTTAGATTTACAGGTATCAAACCCCTCGATAAAGGAAATATTATGTATGTATTTACTGTTTTTAAATAATTAGATATAGGTCCTATTGGGGTAAGTGTCTGCACGTATATCGACTATTAAGTAGGGAGCGCTTTATACTGATTGTACTTTTTTTAAATCGTTTTATTATTTTGTTACAGCCGTTTCGTTTTCAACTTGTTAATAAAGATTCATGGCGAAAGCTGGCCCAATAACGTCGAAGAGCCGTTTATGGACTTTGCCAGTATAATTTTGCGTTTTAGTTTATGCCTAGTTATCTATATATTTTTGTATATTTTTAGAAGTCGGGAATAAAAAAATTGTAAAACATTGTATTTTAGAATAGATGCAAGAACACAAGGCAATTGATTCAGTGCCACCGTAGATTAGGTAACGTTCTTGTACGCAAGTTTCATTTTAAGCATGATTGAATGTTTACATACCTGAAGTATTGGTTATTTTATAGTACACATATAAAACATTAAAGCTATAAAATACCTAATGAAATAATCAATTAAACAGTAGGAAAAAAATAGAGCACAATGTGACAAAAATATTTAGAAAATATTTAAATGAGAGATAATGAAAGTTGCAAAGGAACGTTTTGACAATTGACTTCTAGCCAATGTCAATGTCACATTGATATTGAGAACAGTGTGACCATATGTGGTAGATTTCTGCCATTTTGTGTTGTTATTGTTATTGTTATTATTTTGGCTGATTAAATTTTTATTCATTTTCGTTGCTGCAGAACATGATAAGTTTATTAAATGTGGCAGAGTTTGGCAGATTTGGAAATATTCGGGAAGTTCTTTATTATTTTTGGGAACAAACCAAAAACTTGTTCTTTTCTACACTACGAACAAACATCTGAAGCGAAATACAGGACAATGTTATAAACATAACCTATATCAACTTTATAGCCCCAGCTTATACAGGCTGTACTCAATTAGCTTTTTTGATGCTTTAATAATGAATCACAAGTATTGATAGGTCTCCTTAATGCACTTCGTTAAAAACACTGGGTCACAAAATACACGGGCTATCGCCATCCTTCTTTATGTGGACCTAGCCTTTTCTTTCTTTTCGCTAAGGCTCCATACTCTTAACTTTTAGAAGAATACCAAACGTACAAAATCCTGCCATTAACACTATCGCCACACAACTGAGTTGATTTTAAAATCAGCAGACTTAAGGTCCAGCGGGTTATGGAGTAAGGTTAAGAACACGTTTTAAAATTCGAGGTTCACAAGGTGAATAAGTTTACTACGGAATGTAATTTTATAGCAATTTTATCACGTAGACAGCGACGTTTATTTTTGCTACAACATATGATACAGTTGTTACGCTGTAACCTAAACTAGTAATGCATATTTGCACAGCTGAACTCAAACAGGTTATCGATGAATATTTTATTTTATCATGAGCAATTTATATTTCTGTTACTTAACAATAATGTTAAAGCTTAGTTAGCATTTGGCTTGGAGATAGTGCTCCTTGACCTGAAGTTAATAATATATACTAGTACACTTTATTTCACTGGTTCTATTCTATACGTAAAAGTGAGCACAAAATATAGTAAATTACTTTAAAATATTCATGATATTTGATAATACGTGGAAAATTTTAAGCAAGCCGGTGGGTATCGAGTTATGTGGACGCCTCGCCACTGTTGCCCCAGAGTGAATTCCGTTGCTCTGGTACTCATAGTATAGGGAAGTCCCTAGTTTAAGACCAGGCTATTGGTGTGGTTGTCTGGCGCATATTGTAAAAAATACACAAGACATTTGAAAATGACTTCTAAAATTTTCTTTGCCAAGCTTTATTTTGTTTTTGCGCAATTATATAAAATATTCTTTTTGTTTCACATTTGACCAAAGCTGTAATACCTTACTAAGATAAAAGCTACATATCATGTGAAAAAAGCAGATAAAGTTATAGTGTAACTGCACGAACAGAGTTCCATAAATTATAATATCACTTATGGAACAGAAATAATCAGACTATTTCTGATCTTTATTTCCCTATTTATCCTTATTAAGAACAAATATTCTTTTGTTTATTCTATGCTCATGAGTAAAGGTAATATACACGTGAGTTACGTAGGTATGAGCACCAACCGCATTGTATTCTGGTCATAATTTTCGGGCTGAGTTCCATAAATGTGTAGATAATGTGTCCATAGAACAGTACTATGTTAATAAATGAAATAAATATAACCTTTTTATTCAAAAAACTCGACCTCAAAAGTTTGTGGAAATTCATCTATTTGGCAAGTTTTATTGAGATCGGTTAACGGAAAGTGGGTAAAATCAATAGACCGGATTCATCTTCTAATTTGCTACCCTTAGAGGTGGAATATTTTCTATACATTTAAATAGGACCACTACTGAGGTACCCCTTCCCAACAAAAAATGAATTTTTAGTAATTGCGTAACGTATACAAAAAAATACAGGCGAGCCTCCTCCTTTTTTCAAATCGGTTAAAAAAACAAGTACACAAACTCGTGTACACGCAAAGTTTGGTGGTCTAACCTAGTGATCGAGTTGCGAATACCAGGCCGTTACACCAGACTATGCCGCATTAAAGTCTACAAAACTTAATTTAGCTACAGTACAGTAGATAGATCCCTTAACATCGACTAAAAACATAAGTCGTAACAAACAGTTAAGCTGACAAGACCATGCGTTGTCTAGAGAAACTTTGTGTTGATGTTTAGATGACGGGGGCTGAAAGGCAGGATCAATTCGTATCACTACACTGTCGTCTGCTAACTAAAACCCAGCTAAGGACAAAATATTTTTTAGAGATATCATAAAAAGCTATACCCCAGTTTTAGAATATTGAAATCGTTTAATGATGTTTCAGCTATGCATTTTGTTAGGGTAAGTTCCGATAAGTCAAACACGTTTACACCAAACCAATTTCCACTTGTGTGAAATGAGCGAAAAAACATATTTTACTACAATATGCAGAGGTTATTTCATTACACTGCATTTGCTAGAGATGAGGTAAATCCATAAAAGTTTTAGATATTTTAATTCATAAAAATAGTGTGATTATTCAATCCCAAAGTACGAATTTTAATCATAGGCAATGAATTAACTTGTCAGTGTTATTACTTTTTGAAACCTAAAAATTAATGATTATGTTAAATGTTTTTTTTTTAAATTGCCTATAATATATATTGAAATTGCATTTGAATTAAGTTGCGTGTTGTATGCCTTTAAAATATTTCACACATATACGTCGTTCAGAATACGTCAAGAAAAATAAAAGTATAATAGAGAACAATTGCTTCAAAAATCAAATACACTAAAAATAAAATTGACTTTACCTAATCCCTATGACAAATGTGAAATGAAGTGTGACAGGTATCATTCTAGTTTGCGTTTAGTATAATTTATCTTTCGTTCCCACTAATTCTATTGTATGTAGCCCTTAAGAAGGTAGCAGATTATAATGACAGTAGAATGACCATCGAGTATATAACCAGAAATCGAGACGAAATAAGGGTCATCTATCCCTGGCAACTCATCAGGCAAATGCACCTTATGTCACTTTTGAATATCAACTGAAATCTTGAGTTGAAATCACAAATTAGAAAGCTGAAATAGTACAGTGTCAACAAATGACCTGTTTGTACGTCTCCGTATATTCCAAATATATTCTATATTTATTGTAATAAAGATAATAGGTATCTCTAACAATGGGCGGCTGTTCCATTGCGTGGTGTGAGAAAAACAGCAAAACATCTAATTACAAAACAGACGGAATCACATTTCATTGGCAATTAAATATTAAATATTATGTAATTTTTCAATTTTCGTCCATTATAGTAAAGCTCAAGTTAAACTGCTTGATTTGAAGTGAAACAATTGACGAGACTCGTCAATTGTTTCTAATTCGGGCTAGCCAATTGGAGCGCAATTGTCACCATAATGATTTGGCAGAATAGTTTTCAAACAAATTAATTAGCATTCCGTCTCTATTTCTGGTTACATAAATACTTGATGAGAATGACATAAATATATCACGAAAGGCGCCAAATACAAGTACACTTAAATTTAGAATTTTACTGGAAAAATTTAAAAGTTAAAAATTAAAAAAGTTAGGAATACAATAGCGACCGCTGCAGTTCGCTACAGCGTTTTGCAAACGGCGTTTTGTCATACCTATTCAGCTGCCACGGTTCAAATGGAACGTAAATAATAATCGTATTAGAGCTCGTCGTGATTGAGGTTAATCCCATGTTTTTGATTAAAGCTTTCAGAGCTCAGTATTTTAACGTTAATTTATAAATCCAAACGTTTTCCCAGTTTGAGGCACCTTCCCTTTTTCAAACCACTAAAAGGAATTCAAATGGTTTAGGTTAAAAATCCATTTATTAAATATATCAT